AAAGAGACTAAACGTACAAAAAACATTCGCTCTAAAGTGACCGCGAACCATTTACTGTCGTTGCTTACAGTGCAGTGTAGCTTGCGAGCGTTGAGCGCGGCAAGCAGTACTGCGCGGTTAACTACAGCAGCGGCTTTGTTTTGAAAAGGCATTCGAACGAGAACATCGCCTTGACTGTGTAACATGTCTTGATTGAACAAGTTATGTGTTTTGAAGCGTCATCGCCCCTCGATGGGGATCTCCAACTCTTCCCGAGCCCCTCAGAAGGGGCAAACGAGGTTTATTCAGCAGAAAACATATTATGGCGATCAGAGGAATCACCTCCGAATGAAGGGAACACGCAGCCTCTGCATCCTCGCGCCTTGCTCACTTTCTCGAAGCGCAAGGTTCTTTGCGACATGGTGAAATCAAACCTAGGATCAAAGAAATGATTGGGTTAAAGAACGAGATCTGATTAATAGCAAAATAAACTGAATACAAGGATAGCTCGGCTTTTACCAGGGATAGAATAGGAGGAATTGAAAGACGAGAAAAAATGAAGAGAAAGCTCGATCAAAGAAATACCGAAACCCTAGATTTGGATTTTCGATAGAAGATATCGCCAAAATATGAAAGGTGAGAGGGAAAAGCCAAAGACATTATAGGTATTTGGAGGTTTCGACTCAAGGAGCGGGAAAATGACCCGAAGCAAGCCCAGCGTCAGATTTATAATCTGACTGGATCCGGGCGCTGCGCGGCCTGGAACACTGTCGCGCTCTGACGCGCCTGACAGTATGCTGCCGGCGGCATTCTAAACAGTATTGTTTCATTCGGGCTTTCAAACACTGTGCATGCACAATAAATTCTTCGACGTTTGGAACATATTACATGCTCCTGCTGTATTACAAACAAGAGACCAGGAGATAGAATATAAAATTCTTCCTCTCCATCATCGGGTTCATCTCTACCAACAAACAAGAGACCAGGAGATAGAATATAAAATTCTTCCTCTCCATCATCGGGTTCATCTCTACCAACAAACAAGAGACCAGGAGATAGAATATAAAATTCTTCCTCTCCATCATCGGGTTCATCTCTACCAACAAACAAGAGACCAGGAGATAGAATATAAAATTCTTCCTCTCCATCATCGGGTTCATCTCTACCAACAAACAAGAGACCAGGAGATAGAATATAAAATTCTTCCTCTCCGATTTCGGGTTCATCTCTACCAACAAACAAGAGACCAGAATACTCCAATAGGTATACGAGTCTAAACTATTTCCCTAATCTCAACAGGAAGTTTCTGGAGAATATTACTCAAAATAATCTTAAGAATAACCTGATTACCTCCTAACGGGTATATGAGGTTAAACTATTTCCCGAACACTCCGAGGAGTATATGAGTATAAATTGCATCTCTTTGAACCTCCCAACGGGTATATGAGGTTAAACTATTCCCTGAACACTCCGATGAGTATATGAGTATAAACTGCATCTCCTTGAACCTCCCAACGGGTATATGAGGTTAAACTATTTCCCGAACACTCCGAGGAGTATATGAGTATAAATTGCATCTCTTTGAACCTCCCAACTCCCAGTGTATTTGGAATATATACCCAAACACTCCGATGAGTATATGAGTATAAACTGCATCTCCTTGAACCTCCCAACGGGTATATGAGGTTAAACTGTTTCCCGAACACTCCGATGAGTATATGAGTATAAACTGCATCTCCTTGAACCTCCCAACGGGTATATGAGGTTAAACTGTTTCCCGAACACCCCAATAGAGCATATGAGTATAAACTATTTCTCCATTTTTTAACAATAGTTCTGATTCAAGACTTCGACAACGGCCACGCGATAAACGCAATACCGGAGGAATTTTAGCTATTCTACAAAGCACTGAGTAGACTAAAAGATAAAGAAGTCAAGGATTGAAGCCATTCACAGATCATTCTATGCAACTTCTTCAACAAATTAAGTACTGGAGAAATTACAAGGAAAGCCTATCATATCCAAAGTGTCCAAGACTCCTCTCTAAAAAAAATGATGAGTCTGAGATACTTTGGAGGGGGTATCTGTAGGCGTCGAAAAATGCTTGCAGGCATCCAAATACCACTCAAAACAATATGGGAGAACAATTTACACGTCATCAGGCAACACAAGGTGGCGCGACAGCCCATGGTGCCGCGGCTAAGGCGCGACAGCACATAGTACCGCGGCTAATGCGCGACAGCACATAGTGCCGCGGCTAATGCGCGACAGCACATAGTGCCGCGGCTAAGGCGCTGCAACCTAGGGTGTCGTGGCTATGTTAAAGGAGTGCTGTGGCGATTACAAGGCAGTTATATAATGATTTTTGAGGCTTACGTGGTAGCATATCAGAAATAGAACGTGTGCTGACGTGGACAAGCATTTAAACCACGAAAAAATTGGTTAAAGGTCGTGGGAGAACGGTTTTAAGCACGATGGAACGTGCTGATAACCGTCTCTTTGGCCGCAGCAGCCTATACTGTCGCGCCAATAGCCGCGGCAGTGTAGACTGCAGCGGCCAAAGAGAAAACACTCGGTCAGTTATTTTGCCCCCGTTTCAACTGTGGTGCACTGAGACCCCTATAAATACCTCCCTACACACGAAATAAAGGAGAGAGAGCATTTTGGAGCAGAAGAGGCTTGAACTTTCAGTGATTTTGAAGAAGAGAAAGAACTTTCACCCTTTGACAAGCATCATTCGGTGATTCCTAGAGATCTAAGCTTAGACTTGATCTTTGGAAGAACGGACATCTTACATCGATAAGATATTCATTTTCAAATCTTTACTTTGATAAACGAAGGAGAGATCCCTAAACACCCTCACGATCTTTGAATCGGTGGTCAACGAGCCAAAGCACTCACGGCACAGGCAAAGTCCCACAAAGCAGGAGTTGATAGACAATTTCTGTGTTATTTTCTCGAGAGTTGTATTTTTGCTTATTTTCATTGTAATTTCCTGTAAACACATCAAAGTTTTAATGGAATCGACAATGGAGTCAACTTTCGCTGAAAACAAATATAAATGGAGAGCTTGCGATTGACATTCAATTGCAAACTGGTACTGTAATAGATTGAAGGGAAGAGGATTCAAAAGGAAAGTAAAGAGAATGGCTTTGTCTACTGTTGTGTATTGCATCTGGAAAGAAAGAAATGAAAGAATTTTCAAGCAAAGAAGAAGGAACCCAGCGCAACTGGTTAGGGAGATCAAAGTGGAGATGCTAATCATCATACTAAACAGTGATTTATCTCCAGAGAACAAGGCGTGGATGCTTGAACTGTAGCTTCCTTTCCTTGTGCTCTGTATTCTCACAGGCTTTCTCTGTTCATTTTTTAGCCTTTATAGGTTTCTTTTAGTCATTTTGCTATCTCAGCTTATCTGAGTTCATATGATGTACATATAACTTCTCATTTTGGAAAATGAATAAAAAAATTTCATTGACCAAAAAAAAAACATATAAAAATCAACTAGCAAATAGAAAAGGATCACAAAGAAAATTTGAAAAAGAAAATGAAAAAGGAAAGAAGAATGATTTCCAAGTGTCGTCTCCAGATGGGGTAGAAATTAATTTGAAGCATCTCCAATTCCAAATATATGGCTATTTTAGTACCATAATAATCCCTTGTACGCTATCGACATATACGAGTAACTAATATTCCATGATCATTATTTGTGATACCAAGGTTAGATTCGTATTTGTACTTGTCCTTGTAAAGCTGTGAATGAATACACATTGTGTTTGCCTAGTTTGCCTAGTTTCTTCCTCCTCACATGAGACCATTTCAAGATGACGAAAAAATAATTAGAAAGCGAAAAAAAAGATACTCTTCTACAAAATTAAAAAAGTAAAAAAGGAAGGAACCAGAATGCTTACCCGCTCATGCTAAATCTACATGCATTTAACTGAAAGGGGGTGTTTGGCAAATCGAAAGTAAATTAAAAGTGTTCTGCATTGTTTTTCTTCTCAAGTTTGAGAAACCTAGGGCTTGTGGATTCAAGCTTGTTTTCTACCTGCTATTGTCAGGGCTCGTTGGTATCGGAACGATATCCGATCGGCCTCTCCGTTTCTACGTCTGCGTCACTATCTTGTCTAGCTCTTGATAGATTTTCTCTCTTAAGTTTACATCGTGTGTTTTGCCCGCGGTACCCCGTCTGCCCCGCTAGGAAATTTTGATTGTCAATTAGACTCCTAATAAACGCGTAAAAACGGACCTGAACGTCATACACCCTTTATCTTGGACTTTCTCACAAAAAAACCATCCATCATATGATGCTTATCTGCACTAATTTTATCACACATTTTGGTTGGCAAAAGTTGTTGCCTAACCCCCTCATCGCTTCTCTCCCACCAACACCACCACCTGTCCTCTCCTCTCCTCTTTACACTCTCCAACCAGACAGGATAACATCAAAGTATATGTATGTATGTTTTGGAAAATAAAAAAATATCTCAAGTTTGAGAAACCTAGGGCTTGTGGATTCAAGCTTGTTTTCTACCTGCTATTGTCAGGGCTCGTTGGTATCGGAACGATATCCGATCGGCCTCTCCGTTTCTACGTCTGCGTCACTATCTTGTCTAGCTCTTGATAGATTTTCTCTCTTAAGTTTACATCGTGTGTTTTGCCCGCGGTACCCCGTCTGCCCCGCTAGGAAATTTTGATTGTCAATTAGACTCCTAATAAACGCGTAAAAACGGACCTGAACGTCATACACCCTTTATCTTGGACTTTCTCACAAAAAAACCATCCATCATATGATGCTTATCTGCACTAATTTTATCACACATTTTGGTTGGCAAAAGTTGTTGCCTAACCCCCTCATCGCTTCTCTCCCACCAACACCACCACCTGTCCTCTCCTCTCCTCTTTACACTCTCCAACCAGACAGGATAACATCAAAGTATATGTATGTATGTTTTGGAAAATAAAAAAATATTTTCCTGGGGGTCAAATTTGATAGATCGGCCAGTTGCTAGTGGGGCCCACCAACATCTCCCCATCCTTCGCCTCCTCTATATATATTAAAAGCTCACGAGTCATGGCTAGCACTCAAACAGGAAGGTGGGGGAGGAAATAAAAGAAAACAGGGAGAGCAACAGCGAGAACAAAGAGTGGGTTGTATCAATATTTAGCAAAATGGCTATGGAAGTGGAGGATGATATTTTCTTTGCAGACCTCAGCAGGCAAATATCTTTGCTTATTATGGATGACGACGATGAAGGAGGAGGAGGATTATTTCAAACTCAGAGCCCACCACCCCATTTCCAGGTTAATGATGGTCTTGTTTTATGTCTCTTCTTAATCTTCTGTTTTCACTCAAAGAAGAAACCCAAACATAAAACCCACCCTTTGTTTGTTTTTTTTTTTCCGACCTTTTACTCTTGATGAAATTTTTTCAGTGTTAGTGGGTAAAATTTTGTCAGATGTTACTCCTGGGTAAAACTAGTGAGTCTATCTGACAATATAAGGTAAAAAAAATGGGAGGCGCTACAGGTATACCCTTAGGCACATCATCAACCACACTCCCCCTCTTGCTAAGTGCAGTGGCCCCCCCCACATGTGATTTTTCTTAAAAAAATTACATGTTGGGCGGCTGCACTGTAGCAAGGGGGAGTATGGTTAATGGTATGCCTAAGACCATCTCCAGCAGGAGGTGAAATTTCACCTCCTTCTCTCCTGCCACATCACTTTATTTAATTCGATATCTTTCTGTTGATGTCTTTGAAATGACTATGGCACCGAGACACAATCCTCTCCTTTCCACTTTTGTTGTTCTCATTCACGTACTGTGTAATTTTACCCCAGAAAGTTTCGCCCTTTTGGTTGTTCCCCAACTCACTATCATTACTAACGTGAAAATAACCAGTTAGTAAAAGTATGTTGTCTTCGGTGGTCCAAGTTTCATAACTTGATCTCTTTGCTGATTGTTGGGTTGGAGGGAGAAAACTATGAGGAGTATCCCCACCAACATTTCCCAAAGACATTTGGGTGGAAAATTCAGAGATATCTGTAGATCCGCTACTAAACCGGGGTGTCGCTGGCTCACTCGACTCCGTGTTAGGACAATTCATATGGGAGGGAACATAGCTGCTTCCCGGCACTGGAGGATAACCGTAAGGAAGATAAGGATATTGCATGCCGAAATTTGGTTGCATCATGTACGGCATTTGAAAATTGTGCTGCATCCCCGTATTTTGAGTATTTTCGGGGCGTCGTATATTTGGATGTTGTGGTTGAGGGAGGGTATTTTGAGGTTGGTTAGGAAAGTTGTAGTTGTAGGAAAAATTAGGATAGTTTTGTGAAGGATCCATGAAGAAACTAGCTTCAAATTGTAGAAAGAAGAAGAATAGGGTGTAGAAACTCAGATTTTTTTTGGTGTCCAAATGACACAAAGTTAGTCTCTATTTATAGAGTTTGAAAAATAAAAATTAATGGTATAAAAATTATAAATTAATTCATTGTATTTATCTCAAAAAATATCAATTAAAAATAAGGAAGAAAACAAAAAAGCTCACCCAATCAAATTTCGCCACGTGGTCCCTTGACTCCCTTCCCATCACCCGCGCACATGGGCATGTCAGAAATGCCTGGGGTGAAATTTTTCACCCCTTGGCCGGCTAAATTTGATTCACCCCCCCGAAAGACCCCAGCTGCACCTAAAAATCTCTTCAAAAAACCGCTGCTGCGGATGGTCTAAGGGTGTGCCTCTATCATTTTCCAAAAAAAATTTAACTGTCTATCTGCAATAATTAAACTATAGGGGTAATAAGTTCGTTAGTCTACGTGCAATTAACCCCGAAAAAAGGTTATTAACACATAACAATTGGTCACCTTTTTGTTCTGTGTGCTTCCAGTGTCTGTAATTTTGTTGTACCAGACTCTATATTAGCTGTTGATGTCTTTTCTTTTGGTTTTGAGTGAAGGCTTAGCTTGGTAGGTGACGACTAGGTCCGCTCCTCACGAGCTGCTTCTCTTTTTTGATCCTTCCTCTCTGCTTCTATGTTGGACTCGTAATAGACTTTTCATCTTAGTTATATATATTATTATTGAACAGGGTACCTCACCCTGTTTTTCACTTAAAAAAAAACAATTGGTCACCTTTTTTTTTACTTTAGTAGGCGAAAAAATGACATTGAAATTGAAACACTATAGGCTAGTACTTATAAGATGATATAAGCACCACATCTTTATCCTCTCATAAGTATTAGCTTCCTTCAATCGCAACCCACCTTCAAATTATCCTTAAAACCATCACACATACATGATTCAAACTCAAACATTTATGTCTCTCTGTCCAATACGTGCAGGGTTTCCATCATATGCAACAACAACAATCCATGATGCCACAAAGTTACATGTATCATTATCAAATGTCCTGCAGAAGAGAGAGCAAGGGAACTGGAGTTTTCATCCCTCGCTCTTCACCGTACCCCAGAAGCAAGAACAAAGTTACCGGCAAGTCCAATTCTGCAAACAGTCTCTCTCAAAGGCATCTCGATGATTCGGCAGTTACAGTTTCTCATGCTACTGCCAACAATGAGGAGCTACATTCTCACTGTAAAAGCTCTGGCTCTATCAAGAATAACGGTTGATTAGTAGAGAATTACTCGTATTTGCTACGCACATGAGAAAATAAAAGGACCTTGGTGAAGCGAAAATAGGCTTTCAAAACGTACAGATATCTGGGAGGAAAGGAAGTGGAATTAGGATTAATGCCAAAAGCTATATTTATTAATGCATTTGGATTATTGTTTGTTATCCACCACAGTAATCGTTAATGTAGGGTTATGGGTGTGTGACTGTTTTATCATTAAACATGCTCCCTCTTTTTTTTTTGCCTTCTCATCTTCATTTACTATTACTAATATCAAAATTTGAGAAAACTATAATTTACTCGCTGTTCTCATGGAAATATATCAAATACTTCCAGATGGCTGATCACAAGAAAAAGCCAGGAACCTCTACATGCCAAAAGGATGCAACCTGGGGAGCATGCTGTTGCAAATTCCAATACTTATTTCTCACATTTTGGTCTAAAATTTGATAATTTATTAAATTCACATGATGTGTTGATTGCACATAGCCCCCGGTAGCATTGGTGGTTTGAACTTACTACTCAGATAGACACCCTGGGTTAAATGTTTTTGACTCTTTTCCCTCATCAGATTGACTCAATAATTTCACCTAACAGTAATATCTGGCTAAACTTCATCAATAACAAATTCAAAACAACAAATAATACAGGGGTTCAATGTGGAATTAACCCTAAAATGATAATAAAATGCTGATTCAGATCTATAGGCTGTCTGTCTCTAGCGTTACTAAAGGAAGAGCATTATCATGCACATAACAACGTGATGACAAGTTGGAAGCACATGGATGCAGGGATTGAACCTAACAACATGCAGATGTAAAGGGTCTCCAACTAGATGCCAGTGACCTGGGGATTTTATACTTGAAAAGTCCAGTAATATCTGCATCTTTGTCCTTCGGATTCGGAATTGAATCTGAACCTGATTGTGCTGGATTTTCTTGCATGTTAATGCCTAGCATGCCCTATGGGCATGTTCATGGGGGAGTCTATAAGAAGATTATTTAATAAAAGGCTAATATCAGAAAAAAAAAACCCCTAACATCACTAACCGCATATTTCGCTAGCAAAAAAAAAAAAAATCCCCTGACTAGTTTTACTCACCATGCGAATATTGTGGTTTTCTGATATTTAGCCTATTAGGGGGGTTTTCTGATAAATCTTAAACTTAAAGGGGTTTTCTGATAACTCCAAACTTAAGGCGGGATTTCTTGTATTTTGGAAGTTATGGGAGGTTATCTGATAATCATCCAAAATTCTTTTTTTTAGGGTGTTCTGATGTTTAGCCCTAATAAAAACGCCTCTGTTGCACTTCTCCAAATTTTACTTATCCTTCTTGGACCTACAGTTTGATGCCAAGCCTCATTTCCTTCTTGTTTCATAGTAATTCCCAGTAAATTGTTTTACGATATTATCAGTGTGCTCCAGTTCGTGCCAACATTTAGAATATTTAAGTGGCCATGCCCCTGCTTAACAAAGGGTCTCAGTTTTCGCCTAATGATTTCTTACCATAATCCAAAGCAATTATCATTGTTTGTTCCCAATCTAAAAGTTATTTTTGTAGTTTGAGTTATTCCTCTGTTATTTACTTTCAACAGTTAGCTGTAAACATAATGGTTACCCACTAGAAATTTTTGTTGATATGCATGCCTTGAGTTATGGCTTGAAACTATTGTTGATATGTTCAACCAATCCAAAGATTTCATTTTGCTCAAGGAACCACGAGCAATAACAAAAAGGACTTTGATGAGAATATATCTACCAACAAAAAACTAGGCATGAACATTCTTAAGACAAGATTTTAGATGCACCATACCTTTCATCAACACAGCAGAAAGTTCAAGCAAGGTTCAAATATTCAGAAAACAGAAGTTTAAGTAACAATCTATATGTTGAAATCCGAAACATAGACTAATGGAGTCTTTACCAAATATATGCATTATTATTTTTTAATGCAGCTGATGGTTCCATCCTCAGAAGCTCACAAACCCCTTCTCTTTCAAGCTTTCGACAGTCTCCTTGAGGCTTGTTTTCAAAGGGATGTAGTCGATACCGAGTCCCTTAGTCTTCTCTTTGGAAACTTGGTAAGTTTGCATGAAGGGCTTGTCATCAGCACACCTGCAAGGAGGCAGTGCGTACTAGGTTAGTTACACGAACCAAAAAATAGTGACGCCAACCTTGCCTCTTCACAGCATAGAGAAGAATCGAAGAAAAGAGTTGGGGGGTGGGGGGTGTTGTTTGCTTTCTGGGTGCCCATGCATATCTATTATCCAAACATATTTAGTTTTAAATCATAGCAAACAAGCAATTAAAAGATGGACATTGCAAGTCGAACAGAACAAGAACATATAAATTTTTCCCTGGAATCCGCAATCCACAATTCTGCACAATCAACACCTAATCAGAGAGCAACTGAGCTGATAAGTTTGTCAGATAGTTACTCATTAAAACTACATAATTAACATATTTACTAACCTTTAACCTATCGCACTATGGCGAACAACCCAAGTCATAAACAAGCAAAAGACTGAGTGAAAAATAAATAATTATTTCAAATACTTTCTCTAATACTAACAAATGACTGCACAAAAATGAGTTCAAACTTAGATGAGCACAGTCAATTAATTGTACTGGAACAACCTATGACTGCACAAAAATGCAACACTCCATGGAAAGGGTGATGAAAAGTAAAGAGGGCTATGCTCTTGATAGAAGCGCAGAAACAACAAACTTTTTACAATAACAAATACAGCAGAATATTTTAGCACGGATTGAAAACAATAGTTGATGGATTTGACTATTTTTCTCTCTACATATACAAACTGTAATATACTCGAAATCCTAAAATCAATGTGTAGAACAAACAAGTGCAATGAGGTCTATACTGGCAACAGATATTCATGGCCAAAGAAAACCCATTGAGGAAAAATAAGTACAGAGGTCAGTTAAAACAGTAGATCATCATGACGGAAAAAATCCAAAACAACAAGGATCAAAATATTAAATAAAGGAAGTTTTCTCTTGTTCTGCATAACTTCCAATATCACACCACAATTTGTAGCTGAAAGTAGGAAAGTTGGTGGAGATAATAACTTACTTTTGAGGGAGTTGAAGAGAAGGATATAGTTCTTGTAAGATCTTCACAATTTCTGAATAGTGAGCAACACGTTCAACTAAACAGTATCTTCCACTTGCCGTAGGAACTTCATATGCTAAGATGTGTGCCTTGGCAACATCCTGGACACTTACCCACGTAAAGGCTGCATTGGGGTATGTAGATACTCCTATAAAGAAATTAAATGGAACCATGATTAATTGATACAGATGTTTTCTAGCAAAACCGTTTGTCTGAAACAATAAAGCAAGTATGATGCATATTGGAGAGCAGATATGCAGAGTGCTATGTTAGAAGCATCAACAATTGAATAACGCATATAAACCCTGTTATTGGAAAATGTAAAAAAGTTCATGTACTCAATAAAATTTTAAGGATCAGAAGAACAAAGTTTATCATTGACAAACACACGCACACACGGGCACACACGTACAAGTCCTTCCACATAAGGATAGAAATGTTTGCAGTTAACATTACAAATGGCAATGGGTCATATCATATCATATTTTAAGCAGGCGGACCTGTTCCGGTACAAATTCATCAATACTTGTTTTATTAGATAATCATGACATAAAGACTGATGTTGCCTAATAATGACTAATACAGGAACCAGGAGATCTATAGTCTAAAATACCAAAAACTGATTCCACAGTGTTAATATAAGACATAAAAATATAAAAGCCATCAATGAACTGTAAGTTTATAATTAAGACTCTTGAGTTATATATTCTTGAGTTATATTTCAACTTCTTCCTTATGTGAACACCACAGGGGTTTCCTTCACTAATACATCCGTGTTTTTGGGGTTTCCAAGAACGTGGATTATCTGGAGTTTGCAATGATCATAATTTTATAAGCACCAGTATCTTGGTGCACACGATGTGTGCATGACACGGAGTATAAAGGAGTGTTGCAGTTTAAGTGTTAAGGGGAAAATATGATTTATAAGATTTTTTTTTTAAGATTTTCCCAAGTGTAAGGACATTCTGCAAATTTTTTTCCAAGTGTAAGGTCATTCTGCAATTTTTTCCGAGTGTGAGGGCATTTCCATATTTTTTCCAAGTGGGACATTTTCTAGTATTTCCAAGTATGAGGGCATTTTGGGCACTCTAAAATTGTGGCTCACACAACCAAAATGAGAGTTTCTCTTAATATATAGTATAGATGACTGTTGCAAGTCTATGGAATCAGTTCAACAACTAATTAATTGACCAAGAACCAACGACGACGACGACGACAAAGCTATTATCCCAAACTTTTGGGGTCAGCTATACGAATCTTATTTCCATCCACTTCTATTATGGGTCATCTCCACCAGTAAGTTAACTATCATATTATTGTTCTTAATTACTTTCGACCAAGTTCTTTGAGCTCTATCTCCAATCCTCTTTGCCCTCGTTAAGTATAATCTTAGCACCTCTCCTAATCAGTCCATTTAGTGGTCTCCATTTTACATGACCAACTATCTCAATCAATTTCCTCAATTTATCCTCAATAGGAGCAACCTCGAATCTCTTAGGAACGAAACATTTATTGTCCTATTTTTTAGGGTATCTACACAAGATTATCGTAACATTCTCATTTCTGTTGCATTCATGTTTTGCACGTACGTTTTTAATTGCCTAACATTCAAATCCATAAAGCACTGGTCTTCTAACTGCCCAACATGATGTGATGGTTACATAAGACTCTAGAAGCACTCCTCTAGTCTGACCACACAAACACCAACAAAAACTTTTTGTATCATATAAGATAAAACCATGATTTAACTTTAAGTTAGCCATCAAGAAGATGATGTTCACACAAATTGTTCTTTCATGAGCTTGATACCATCAACAAACCTTTTATCAAGTTTAAGATTGCAGCAGAGCTTGTATTAAGAGTTGGCTGTAGAAGAGGTCCTATCACCATTCCTGGGTTTATTGTTACCATATCGATGGAGTTTTCCTTCGCAAACTTCCAAGCAGCCTCCTCTGCTAAGGTCTTCGAAAGCACATACCATAACTGTTGGAAACCAAAAAACCAAGAGCAAAGTTCAAAGTGATGGCTTTCACAACTCAAGAGTAAGTTTAACGAGTTAACCAGTGCAAGTCAAAAGTTGAGCATTTTCAGACAAGAACCCACAACTGTGTATGAACCAAACAGAGTCTACTAAGATTTAGTTGTTTCACGATGCAAGCCCTAGAACCAACACCTTGCCACAAATGGTTATGAATATCAGAATAGTTATATTAATGAAAAAGAGATATAGAAGCATTTCAAGCAATGTCACAAATATGTCTACATCTATGTAGAAATATATGCACAAACCTTTGACATCCTGCAAAATTCAGAATTAGAAAACCATGTCTCATCAACTACCACATCAGGAGTTCGTGGTCTTCCATTATATGCAACAGCAGCTATGGATGAGGTCACAATAACCCTTTTCACAGATGGAGTTTTGATGCAGGAACCCAAGACATTAAGAGTCCCCTTCACGGCAGGATCAATTAGCTCAGCCTGAAAATATAGAACAAACAGTAAACCAATAAGATGATCAGACTATTGTATATTATGAACTCATATGTAATTGAAATATATTGAATTATGTTTACAAAGAATTAAAAAACAAAAAAGAACATTCATTCTCATCATTTATGATGACTGCAAATAAAAATAAATAAATAATGTGACAGAATTGCCAGAAGCCCGAGATATCTTGCAACAAATCATTTCATAATATTGTTCAAAGAAAGATTATACGATCTCATGTTTAAGGCCATGCATGGATTCAAACAATTGATGCAAAATGCATAACAGAGTAATATAATAAAGAATAAGAAATTATATTTAAACTACAGAAAATATAAATCAGAACACCCCAATAGAACTTCATTCCATCATCAGCTGAAACTCAAGAAAATCGCTCACTGTTTGTTGAAGTATAATATACTAAAAGAATGGTAAGCTTTTCTTAACTAGGTCCAGAAATCTATCTTAACCAGAAAAAAATTTCTTGACCAGAAAGAAGCTTACATCAAAGTAATCAAATGAAGCTAAACATCAAATCAAGGAACTGATACTTGGTTTACCAAAGATGAAGGATACGAACCTGTGGATCTGTTACATCATGATAGAATGGAGACGCAGTATGAAATACGCCTTCGCACCCATCAACCACAGAATCAAAAGAGCCCTCTTCCAATAAATTTGCTTTAATCAAATGCAATCTCTCATTGGCTCCATACAAAGCACGCAAGTGTTCCGTTTTCTTTGGATCAGCTAAAACAGATAATACAAGTGCATTCATTACGATATTTGTAAAATTATTTGTTAGATAGGATTAATTAAATGCAAAAGAGGCTTAAAAGAAGTACCTCAGTTAAAGCAATGAAAGAATGGGAGCTAGAGAACGAAATTGACAGAACCTAACCAATAATTTATTTATCTTGATGTTAAATGATAATTTCATGTGAAAGAGATGTCTAGATAGAGTTGACAGGATAACGGTCCTTTTGAAACCAAGAAAGGATACAGAAACATAGGATCCATTTCTTCGTTATTGTTTTGAATACTTGAAGCGCACAAGTTTAAATTGTTGCGAGGAAAAATGTAAAGGCACAAAGTAAAATATCGAAGACATTATACTTTATCTATCTCGGAACAAGAGTAAACTTGATCAAAATTGGACACTAGTATATGCAACAAAACTAAAGAATCAAAACAAGGTTTGGTTCGTGAAGTCCTAGTATCATTTTCTTCTACTGGTAATTGTGAAACTTGATTTTGCCTCACTCAAATGCATTAGGTGTTTGGTCCATTCTGTAAATCGTGGATTCACAACAACCCCAAACCCCTTTTTTTCCTGGTCAATACCAATGCCTTGGTTATGAATGCAAGAGATAATCTACATAAACCTTGAGATTGCATTTGCGAAAATACCCTCCAAATCTCAGTATTTGCAAAACTACCCCTCAAGTCGTCAATTATGGGCAAAAATTATCCTCAAAGCAATTAATCATCAACTTTTTTGACAAGCTGATTTGTAATTGCAATGTAAAAATTTGTCAACAAAATAGCCAATTTTTTACCACCAAGTTGATGATTCGTTGATTTTAGGGGGTACTTTTTCCCCCCGAAAGGGGTGGCTTTAAATGATAAGATTTGGGGGTTATTTTTATAAATACCAATGATGTAAGGGGTATATATGCAAATAACCCTAGATTTTATTTTCCTTTGCTCGCCATCTACCATGCAAATCCCTAATTTATGAGCTAGGGTAAAATGGCAAAAATCAATAGCCCCACAAATTCTCCATAAGGGTTTCGCACAAAACCCTTGGAACCCACGAGCGATCAGTCACCTTTAAATGGAAAATTCAAAAGAATTGCAACAAATGCAAAACCTGAGTAGTAGCGGGGGTTTAAATTGCAAACTATTAAACTTTACCAGGGTCTCTGACGGAGGCCTTGACGGTGTAGCCATGATGGAGGAGGAGCTTCACCAGCCATGATGCTATGTATCCTGATGCCCCTGTCACGCACACCACCTTCCCGATTCACCCCCCCGAAAGACCCCAGCTGCACCTAAAAATCTCTTCAAAAAACCGCTGCTGCGGATGGTCTTAGGGGGATGACTAGTTGAGACAAGTTGAGACTAAGTGAGATAATTGTTCTAATAAAATAATTTTATTTTTTTAGAAT